TTTAACTTCATTTACTTTTTTTTTTTCAATTAAGCCTCTTCCCTCCCAGTATATTAGATAAAGATTTTCAGACTAAAGAAAAATGGAATTAATCCAATGAACATCCACATAGCTACTGCCTAGATTTTACAATTAACATTTTACTATGATTTTCTTTAACACATAACTACCCATCTATCCAACTCTCTCTTCATCCATCGGTTCATCTTATTTTTATATATATTTCCATTTAAATTTCAATATAATAAAAGCTTCCAAGCTGGTGTAGGATATGGTCAATTTGCATTTTCAAATGCTCACTCTGTTAGCTGAATGAAGCATGGACCTGATTTGGATGCACGTGAAGCAGGGAGCCCATCTGGGAAACCCTGCAGAAATGTCCAGGACTGTGCTGGGTCTCTGGAGTTGAACAGACTCAGCTTTGAACGTTTGCTCTCAGATTTTAGCAGTGTCACCCTGAGCAAGTCACTTAACCTCAGTTTTCTCATCCATAAAAATAGCTTGATGACTATGCTTACCTCAGAGGATTGTCGTTAAGAATTACATGAATGCTTGTAAAATACTTAGGACTGTATCTGTGCTTGATAGTGACTAATTCTAATAAGTGAAATAGTAATGATAAAAGACAATTCATAGGCTCCTATTTCCCTAGACTACCTCCCATCATTTGCCTCTCAATTTCGCACCCAATAGCCATCTTGCTTCTTTCATCCTGAACCAATATATTCTATGGTCTATGACCTCATTAGTATTCTAAACGTCCCTTCTTTGCTCATTCTGTCTTTCTATCATGTCCCTTTGGCAAAACCCCAGCCTAGATGAACCCAACTATCTACCCACTCTGCATGTGCTAGATTGCAAGAGTCCCCAAATAGGGCAGACTGACTTGTCCCAATGAATTAAGGCCAACCTGGAATGGGCATTCTGGCCAAATCAATCTTGAGATGTCTAGTCCCTCTCCCTCTCTCCTCGACTCATTCATGTTTTCTCCATTTTCCATTTCAGTCCTTCGTGATCACTAACACACCTTCCTCTTTTCAAAAGATCACCATTTCCTAATTGACAAAAGAAACAGAATCCAACAGAAAGGAACTTCTTCAACTGCCCTATCAAAGATAACAAAGGCTCCCACATCTGGTAATGGGTACAGGGTATGAAAATGTCCCAAAATTATACTGTGGCAATGGATGCATAATTCTGGATATATTTTTTAAATCACTGAATTTTACTTCAAACACGAGAGTTTTGTGGTTTGTGAATTATACCTTAATAGGCGGAGGGGCGGGGGACCTAAGATCTTACGGAGGAGGAAGGGACCCGTACCTCATCCACACGAAAAGCCTGCAGTTTCAGGGGATTCTCCACAGCCGATGCTGCAGAGGCCGCGTGTTGCGGTGGAGGAGGGGAAGTTGGGCGTGCGTTAGGGGAAGACGCCATAACTTCCCAATTGTGAGATCACTATCTGATGCATTGCGGCGACCTCTCTTCTCCCAGTTCCAAGACATTCCTCAGTCGATGGAGGTAACCGGCCGAGAAACAACGAAAGGCCCCATTACACTCACCGCCGCGCAACAGCAGCCCAGAATCCGGAAGCAGAAGCGCCATATTTGTTATGGGAAAAGGCTGTTGGAAAGGAAGTGACCAGAACCATCTTTGCTGTGGGCAAGCAAGGGCAATGGAAGGTAATCGCAGCCATTTTGACTGAGGGCATTCGTTCCGTCAGTGAAACTTTCTGCACACGGCTAGTTTGGGCAATTTCTGGAGGAGGCTTATTGGTAAATGCGCTTGGTGGACACTAAAGGGAACGGGAAAAACATTTAAAATCTTTAGAAATTTTAATGTGTACGTTTGAGAAAACACTACGCAAAGTAGAGAGAGATTAACAAGGAGAATGACAATATTTTAATATGTTCTGTGCAACTCAGCTGTACACAACTGCCAGACCTGCAGGACCACGGGAAAGAGACTAAATGTTATTGTCCCATTTTACCATCTTCTTAAAAGAGTTCTGTATACTCACAACCTCCTAAATAACCTATATTGGCATAGGACCCCATAAATGAGGAGTCCTGCACTTGAGATTAAATATTTTAAAAAACACTAGCTGATGTTTGGACAACCATGTGCCAGACACTGTGCGTTTAAGATTCCCTGGGAGATGTGGTGACCTTTTGAAGGCACACTTTAAAGATACNATGCTGCAGAGGCCGCGTGTTGCGGTGGAGGAGGGGAAGTTGGGCGTGCGTTAGGGGAAGACGCCATAACTTCCCAATTGTGAGATCACTATCTGATGCATTGCGGCGACCCCTCTTCTCCCAGTTCCAAGACATTCCTCAGTCGATGGAGGTAACCGGCCGAGAAACAACGAAAGGCCCCATTACACTCACCGCCGCGCAACAGCAGCCCAGAATCCGGAAGCAGAAGCGCCATATTTGTTATGGGAAAAGGCTGTTGGAAAGGAAGTGACCAGAACCATCTTTGCTGTGGGCAAGCAAGGGCAATGGAAGGTAATCGCAGCCATTTTGACTGAGGGCATTCGTTCCGTCAGTGAAACTTTCTGCACACGGCTAGTTTGGGCAATTTCTGGAGGAGGCTTATTGGTAAATGCGCTTGGTGGACACTAAAGGGAACGGGAAAAACATTTAAAATCTTTAGAAATTTTAATGTGTACGTTTGAGAAAACACTACGCAAAGTAGAGAGAGATTAACAAGGAGAATGACAATATTTTAATATGTTCTGTGCAACTCAGCTGTACACAACTGCCAGACCTGCAGGACCACGGGAAAGAGACTAAATGTTATTGTCCCATTTTACCATCTTCTTAAAAGAGTTCTGTATACTCACAACCTCCTAAATAACCTATATTGGCATAGGACCCCATAAATGAGGAGTCCTGCACTTGAGATTAAATATTTTAAAAAACACTAGCTGATGTTTGGACAACCACGTGCCAGACACTGTGCGTTTAAGATTCCCTGGGAGATGTGGTGACCTTTTGAAGGCACACTTTAAAGATACAATTAGAAGTAAAACTAACCTTTCTTCACAAACAAGCCTAGTACATCAACAGTAAATTTCACTTTTTCTTCCAGCTTTGTACACTGATAAAGCATATAATTTCAATTTTCACTTTTTTTCATGTAATTTATCTCATAAAAACACTATTCCAAAATAACATGATAGACTGTAGTTAGAGAAAGCCTAGAATGACATTACATTACTTTACTGTTTGTTCCAGAAAATGATAAACTCAAATACAAATTAAATAAATGACAGACTAAATTATTACATAACTGTTAAAAATGATAAATGATATAGCAAAAGGAAATTCCAGATCATGCACTGCACTCTCAGTTTTCATATCTCTTTCTTTGGTTTCTTTTAATCTCCATTTCTCAGTCTTTTTATTTCTTGGTGTTGACATCTTCGAAGAATACAGGTCAATTATTTTGTAGAATATCCCTCAATTTGAGTTGTCTGATAACCTCCACCTGGTTCTCAATGGCACCATACATTGTTGATCACTCCCTCCCTCTGGAAAGCTCTTGTTCCTGGGTTTCCCTGATAATCCCTTCATCTGGTTTTTCTATTTCCTCTCTCAAAAGTCCATGTAAATCTTGCTTACAAGCTCTTCTTCTTCTTCAGTGTGGGCCTGTCTCAGGATTCTGTCTTGAATCTTTTCTTCTCCCTTCTGTGCAGATGATTCCCAAACCTCTAAACCTAGTCTCCTCCTGAGATTCAAGTCAACATCCACTATTAATTCAACCTCTTCCCACCTCTCAATCAACCTGTTCCTACCCTAGAGTCTCCTGTTTCAGTGAATTGTACTATTTAGTTGCCAAAGTCAGAAACTTTTTTTCCTTCTTTGTCCCACCCTCATATTCTCTTCTGCTGATTCTTTCTTTCTCATAAGAATCTGTTGATCATCTCTTCATTCTCTCCATCCTTACTGCAACTTCCTGAGGATAGCCCACTATTATCTGCCACCTGGATGACAACAGTTTTCCAAGTCCACTGTGGCCAGTTTTCTTTTTAAAAGGAAAATTGATCGTACCATTCCCTTGCCCTTAGGCTAAAGTTCAAACTTCTTAACCAGACTTAAAGGACCCCTACCCCTTGTCTCCCATTACTCTCCATGGACCTGGACACTATTTTCTTCTCCTTAAATACTCCATGCTTGCTCACTTCTAAGCTTTTTACCCATACAATTTCCTCCCTTAGGAGTACTCTTCTCACATCTTTGATTTTCCTCATCCTTCAGATCTCAGCTTCAGGAGATTCTCCCAAGAAACCTCTGACTTGTCAAATATGAGTTAGTTGTCCTTCCCAGAAATGTTCAGATTCCTACATTTGCTCTGATTAAATTCCTTTGCCTTTTCTGTTTCCCCAACTAGACCATAAGTACCTTGAGGGCAAGGACCATGTCTATTTTGTACTTGTATACTTGTAGTCCAGATCTCAGCCCAGTGACTCACATATACATGTTTAAAAAGCACTGTTACATGCATGAATAGATAAATCTTTTCCCAGGTTCACCTCCTCCCCCACACAGCTCTACCTTTAGAGCCGGCTGAGAAATATCAAAAACCTAACTTCTTCCTGCTCTGTTATCAGTGAAACAAACCCTGGAGCCTTTTTGCCATTGTTACCCTTTCCTTGAAAAGCAAGTTTTTTTGCTTACAAACTAACCCTCATTTGTTCTCTTGTGGCCTTTCCATGATAAAGCTTATCTTTCTGAAGTGCTTCCTGGAGGAAATTTCTGATGTCTGGAGTAACTTTGCTACATAGCATGCCTCTGACTGTCCTTACCACTTTCAGTTGTCAGTGCACAAGAAATGAGAACTAGAGTCATTATCAAAACAAAATTGTCATAATTTGGACCTTAAATCTGCAGAGACAGCGAAGTAAAGTTTATTGCATCCCAAAAGTGAAATACAAAATTATTTTAGAGCCCCTGCTGTTTTGCCATTGATTATATAATGGCTGTATACATTGGGTTATGTCACAATCATATGAAACCCATATATTTCATGGTTGGTTTTTCTTCCATTGGCTAAACCAGCTACTTCAATCAAATCTCTTTCAGCAGAAAGAAGTCACTTTAGGTGAAAGACCCAAATATCTCTTTCAAAGTGGGGTGAAATTGTTTGCAATTACTTAATCTCTCTTCATTATTCTGAACCTTGATCTAATTACTCATCTGGGGATTTAATTTTTAAGAAAGAAGAAAAGAAACTTGTACAAAAGTTCAAGAGTTAAGTAATTGATGAGTCTCAGGAAGCTTATTATTTTTCATTCATGCAATATTCTAAAGCCATAATTCAACAATAAGTAGATAACCAAGGGAAAATATATCAGACTGTAAGCTCCTGACTAGACTTGAGATCTGTGAAAGTGGAGGTGTGGATTTTATTTGCCAATGAATACCCAGTACTTGTGTTGTCCAGCAATCCAATCCAGGGAGGTCTCCCTGAGTGCTTGGTTAGACCTCAACCCAGGAGAGTGTTCTTGACTTTGATCAAGAAAGCATTCACAAACAGGCTGGATGAGTGTAGGTAAGGAAAGAATTCATTCGGGCAAGAGTAGTAGTAAATGGCAGCAACTGTGCAGGCTGTACAGCACAAGGAAGAGTGGAGAAGGAAGGGACAATTCAGCCAACTCCTGCTTAGCATAGAGCAAATCCCTTGCCTACTCCTGAAGCCAGGGTCACCTGGCATCTAGTGTCTGCTTGAATCTGCATGGCATGGGAACTAAGCCCATACCTATCACCCCAGGATTTGAGGGGAGCTGCAGAGTGCTGGATGGAATGGGTTATGTCCTGAGAACTTCCTCAAAGCAAAGAGTGGAGATTTTCAGGCAGGCTACTAAGGAGTATGATCATACAGCTGCAGTCCTGCCTGGATCACCCAGGCAATGGAACTTGCAAGCCCAAATCAAAGAATCTCAGTAGCCCTTCCCTGCTTGTCTGAAGTAAGACACAGGAAGAGAAGATTTGTGCTTAAGTCTAGAACACTGAATGAAGTAGTGAAGTAACAAAAACATTTATCATTGTAAGAGCATGGAGACAAAATGCAGTAAGTTGAGCAGTGAGGAATCTTTACTCCAGGCAAAAAGTACACACTCAGAGAAAGGGGAGTTTGGGTAACCTCAGAGGAGGCACATTTAAGGGCTTAAGATTCTGTCCTTTAAGGCTTTCAACAGTGGGGCAGAGGGTGGAGGAGAGGAGGGTTGCATAGGCTGACATGTGGTCTCATGATGTCTGTCTCTAGTAAGGGATATTTTGTCATCATCCACAGTCTTTCCTCTAGATATTCTGTAAGATAAACTTAACACAAAGAATTTCTTGATCCTGTTCTTCTCCAAGATAGTGGTTACCCTCAGGTAGTGGGGACATATCATTTAGGACTGCTTGCCCTGCCTTAAGATAGGGTCAGTTATTGGCTGATTACCATAAAACATGTTAGGAACCTTACCTTGTAACTCTGTGGTTTTTAAAATAGAATCTTAGCCTTAAGAGGGAGTCCCTCCTGTTCTTACTATGCTATTTATATCTCAGTATTTTTCATCATAGGCAGGAAAATTTATCATGATGCTCATCCCATGTCCTTGCCCTACTTCACTTGGAAGTATATACTTATAATGAACATAAGCCCAGACCTTATTTCTAAAATTAGT